GGGGGGGGGGCCCACTTTGTAAAGTATGTGACTGTCTGACCACTGTCCACCTGAAACTAGTACAAAATAATATTGAATGTAAACTGTAATTGGAACAAATTTTTTAAAAAGAATTAAGAGTAAAAAATAGATTAAATAAATAAAGGCTGTTCTCTTTACAGTATAGTTGTCTCCTCTCAAGGAAACAGTTAGATGCTCAGGAAGGGACCAGGAGCCCTTGAGTTGGAGTTTTGCTCCCTCTTCTGGAAACAGCAAGTCATGACCTGAGATGCGGCCGTGCTAAGGGGACCCTTACGCTGCTCCATCAGGAGTAAAGTAATTACGGAAATGGGTTGTTAGTTTCTAGAGGAACAGAGATTGCACAGGTCACAATGCTTCCTTGAAGTTAGAAAAGTAATAAAGCAATAATAATATCATACAGGTCAATTCACAGCTCATAAAACCCCGACAAACGCTGCCTCGTTTTCACCTGCTTTTCTCCAACAGTCCGGGTGAAGTAGGCAGAGCGCCTATCACTCCCATGTTCGACCCTGGGAAACTGAGGCTAAACCACTTACCTGAAGCCCCACGGGGCAGGGTGGGGGGCTGGGTGGGAAGCCAAGCCTCCCGACTCCCGGCTCAGCGTTTTCGCCCCGTGCGCCCCACAGGTGTGAGGGCAGTGATTTGTCAGGGCTGCGCCTCCAGGTACATCTCTAGCCCGATCAGCACCTTCCACAGCGCTCACCTAACTCCTGACAGGAGACGCGCTGCTTTGCACAGGGCTGCATCGGATTCTAGCCAGGCCACGCTTACTGCGGCAAAAACCACAAAAATCTATCTACCGAAATCCCACAAGCAAGTGGATGGACTATGGCAGAACTTCTTAAACTTGTGCTTGGGACTTCTTCAGTATTTCGTTGTTTTTCGATTACAGTTACCATACAATATTATGCCAGTTTCAGGTGTACAATGTCATGATTGGGCATTTATATAAATTATGAAATGATCACCATGTCCAGTACTCGCCTGGCAGCAACCATACTTAGTTATTACTGTATTATTGACTATATTCCCTATGCCGTACTTTACATCTCATGACTATTTTTTTAAAGTTTTGGTTTTTTATTATTGTTATTTTTTTAAAGAATCTTTGGCACATTGAGTTTTGTAACAGTAAATACTAACTCTGCTACTGGGGGAAATTGAGTTTGAGAAAGATGGGAGAAAAACTAGAGTGCAAAGATGAAAAAAAAAAAAATCAACTTGAAGGTCCAAGTGCTTTTATTTTACAGTTCCAAGTGTGCAAATAAACACATTCTGCACATTAACGAAATGATCAAACAAAAGGCACACAAATCGACACGCTCTTCAGTCTTTGCTTTCATAGGTCTTACCACCTGTGACGAGTAAGAACAGGATGAGAGACTCGATTTCCCCATTCTATCTCAAACTACGTAACACGTGCTACAGGTTTCCCCTGGGGACCTTTCCAGTTCAAGCTATTCGGTTCAATCAGTTAACCTGCGATTACAGCAGTTACTTCTGTATACCCACTGCTCTTCGCCCTTTGCTGAGCTGTTTGAAAAGACAACCGGGGGAGGGTTCAGTCAGTTTTGCTAAATGCACTAATCAAAAAGCCTTAATTGTGTGGCCACCAACATTCAAGCCTTTAGTCATAAAAACTCCCAGTAAGATGGGAAATTAAATTATGAGATGTTTTCGTATACAGGTATTATTAAATACTGTGTGTGCAGAAATAATTAACCATTTGTCTTAACTGATAAAAGTAGAGAACATAAAATTTAAGATCCTAAAAGGGATTTTGCAGAACTGAGACCAAAATGTTTTTTTCTGTACAACTAGATCCCTAAATGTACTAGAGAAAAAAATGGATAGAATTTTTTTGTACATAATCTTTCAAGAATGCATCTCATCCACACAGTTCAAACTATAGAATTCTCCCAATTCACCAAGGCTGGACAGTTTTTGAGGCTTCTGGGTACTTACCTTTGAGTTCCACATCTACATGTCTGGGGTTCTTAACTGGGGGATCATGGGCCACTAGGCTGCAGCAGGCTTCATGGAGTTCTCGGGTCCCTGACACAGCACGTGACACTCAGTGCGCACGCACGCACGAACTTTTTTCTGAGTAAAGGCACATACCTTTCATCAGATTTTCAAAGGCTTTCCGAAAAGCTTAAGAACGTTAGACGTTTAATGAACAGATATATGTACAATTTGCCAAATACTGCTGTACCTGTAATATTTGCAAGATGTTTTAAATTTAATAAGCACCTTGGGAAGTTCAGTGTCATAACCAGGAAAATTATTCATAGGAGCAGTTCTACACCTTCACTTCCTAGTAATCCACACAATCCTCAGCCGACTGCGAGCCAACTGTCCCCAGTTCTCTGGAATGACTTCTGCCTTGACGATTAAGTTCCTACTTGCTAACTTCAATTACATTTTGGGGTATTTATTTGACCACTTGGTGGTATAGTATAATGAAGAAAGGCCAGACTCGAGCCAAACTGCTAAGTTCAAATCTCAGCCCTGTCACTTTCCAGCTCTGCAACATTGGACAAATTGCCTCTCTCTCCTCTGTAAAGTGTCTTCATTCATATTGTGTGAACAGTACTTAGTTCAAAATGTCAATGTGAGAATTAAATTGGCTCCCAACAAAGCATCATGTAAATATTAGTTACTATTTGGTACCTGGGATAACTCCTTTCTTGAAAATCACTTGAGGCCTGTCTCCTAGGTCTCATTCTACCTTTGACGGCGCCTGTTTCACCTTCCTGTTCTAGGCTTACCCCTCTCTAACTTATCTTTTACACCGTGGCCAGAATGACCCTTTGGAACTACAAACCTGATGCCATCTCCTGCCCTGATGTAGTGCAGCCTAAGCTCCGCGGCACGGCAGACGAGTCCCTTTGTGGCAGTGGCCGGTCTAGCTCTGCTTCCTTGTCTCCACTGCCTCCACTCGCCCTACCAGGTACACTGACCCAAACCAATTAGGACCCCAAATGTGCCTTATTCTGTTACCTCCCGACTCTGTATAAGCCACTGTCTAGAATACCCCCCTCTCCTTTTCTCACCACGCTCCTTCCCCACGTGAACTAGTTCTTCTCAACGTGCTTGCAGTAGGCCGCACACGACTTACACACTCTATTCCAGATGCTGTGTGGTGGCCGACACATTTCACCCAGACACCTCCCCTTCCCACCACCTCCAGTATGGAAGTAGGGGCCGTACTGGGGCCGTTTTGTTCTCTTTCTACCATCGTAATCTTAAACCATTTTCTTATTCCTTTGTTCGTCACTCCGTTTTTTAATCAACCCACTGAGTTTAGGTAGAAATGTATCTAGAAGGTTATAGGTACATAAATAAACTAGATAAAAAAACTTCACACTGAAGGGAACATTCTAGAAGTATTTATTTCACTGTTGACCACTTGGTTACAGCGTGTGGCTCTCAACGACGAGCGGCCACTCCCCACTCCTACAGAAGCACCAAATGCTACGGTGCCACCACTGAGCTTTCAGCCTTTCAAGGGCTTTTGTTACCGATGTCATTCCCTAGGGACAACCCTTTCGGGACTTAAAAGCACTTAATCTCTATAAAAAGTAGCTTCATATTCCATGCACAAAATGCCAATTGGCAGGTTTAGGTCCAAAATGGAAAGAAAAAAAGTATTCTAGTTCTGTAAATTATCAGGAATAAAATAAGCATTTCCCTTTGCCTTGTTCTAAGGAAACAGAATTTCTCTTCTCTATCAGGAATCAGGACAGTAGCTCTGACGACCCCACAGAGTTATAAAATTGCTCACTGTTTAAAGTTCTTCTCAAAGATGTTAAGGAGTAAGAAGCTGGCTCATTTCCCTATACAACTTAAAGAAGTATTTGCAGTACTTGTAGGAGTTATAGGCTGTACGGCAGGCCCTTGTGACAATATTTAAAGGGCCCATTTTTCCCATTTAAAAAATTCACCTCAGAAGGTGAAAGAAAACCCCCGCATCCCTGAGCAAAGAGGGGGAATCACAGGCGTTTTCACTTGTCAACAGAAGCCGCCATGAACGGGCTGCCTGGCTCTGACCATTCTTGGAGGAATTAGGTAACCCGAAGCAGGTGTGAGGCGCCCTCCGAGACCTTCTCAGGTAAATGGACTCAGTAGTTGAGGAGTAACTCTGCAAAACCTGAAGCGTAAATAACTACGCAGCTGAACAGTCTCCATTCTGAAATTAGAGATTGTCCAGAGAGGATGCTTATGGGACACGAAACTACTGGGCACAGAAGAATTTTTAAAATGTCAGCAAACTGTGGCAAGAGGAAAAGAGAGTGGGGAAAACTCCAGTGGAGAAAGTGAGAAAGGGGCAGGACAAAGCCATAGTTATGAGCTGGGACTTTCTTCTCGCTAAGTTGGGGGCCTCTGGCTATATGTATACTATCCTCACTCTTATATTAATATAAACCAGATGCTGAAAAATAAAATTAAAAATGTGTTAAACTAATTTAAGTCTTTTAAGGAACAAATGACAGAAAACATTTTAGCTGCTTAATCAAGGAGTGCTACAATAAAATTTCAAGGCATCTCAATATAATTCGTTTAACCCTAAAGCAAATGTGCAATAAGCAAAATATAAAAGGGAAATGACAAAGGTTAACTTCCTACAGGGGCCAACAGAAAAAACCTTTGCAGAACAGCAATTAACCTTCACATACTGGAGTCTTATTTAAAAGGCCATCGAAAACTCAGATCACTGAAAATCACAAATGTCACCAACAAAAGGAATGTTGCTTAGACAGTCACAAACTTCCCAAAGGGCTGCCTTCTCTGAAGGAATTTCAGGCTGTTGCTAGACAGGTTGGTTGCGTTAAGTCTCACTGATGGCTCCATTAGAGAATGAGAATGCCCCAGTCAGTGCTGTTTTAAAAATGTAAAACACTGGGAGGGGGAAAAAATAAAACAAAATAAAACAATCTACTGTTACCTAACATATATGGCTTAGCACCCAGAGAAAGTCTCTGCCCCCAAGAGAGACTTTCTACACAGGGTTAAGCTTCATTAGAGGTGTAACCTTTCATTTTCAGGATTTGTCTTTTCTTGCAAGGTCCTTAAGAGGCAGAAGTTCCACTTGGATTCTAACATCTCTGTGAGCTCAGCTTCCTGAAAACACACACCTGCCGGGTTCTAGGTTATCCCTTGCCAGTGACGGGATCCACTACTTCACAGCCACCAGAATCGCACATACACTATTAACATGATGAAAAACACAGCTACTGCTGCAAGTTTGGCGTAAGTGGACCGCATGTTCAAGTACTTCGCATCCTGGCGGTATTTCTTGGACAGACTAGACAAGTTGTTAGCCTTTGAATCCAATGCTGTCAAAGAGGAAGAAAGGAAAACATTAGTCCATGGAAGTATTTTATCAAATGTATTAAGACATAAAAATAACCAAAATGAGTGGCATGATACCAAACCACCACGAAGCTTAAATTATTATTTTTATTTTACGGGTAAGGTTGCATGTACTGGTTAACTCATGATCCTAAAGCACTGAGAAATCTACAGTGCATTTTAAAATTATCAGACCAAATTATGTTCAAATTCCTGAGGCTGCATAGTGAAATAGTTAGAAGAGCAGGCTCTGGCCTCCGACTCTGGTTCAAATTTCAGATGTACCAGCCATGTGACATTGGTCAACTCAGCCTCTCTAACCTAGTTTCACTATCCATGTAACAGGGACAACAGAAACTATGTCACAGGGTTATAGGTACATGAGAATGCCTGTACAGTGAGCACAGTGCCTGCACCTGGTGAATATCTGATCAATGTCAGCTGCCATTAAGCATCTCCATAATCTCTCAGTGGTCTAAATCATACTCTCTCATATTTTGAAAAACAATAATCCATGTAAAATAAGACTCTGATAACCAGAGAATTTAATGAACCAGACACTGAGTATTAAGCTACATCTCAATGGTGACTGCTGCCAAATTTCTAAGATTCTCCACACAGTAGAGACTATGACAGTAAAGCTACCAGCAATTATATTTCAACAGACATAGGAAAGTTGTTTTGTAATTAAAATACAATAAAAGGTGCTAGAAAACCACCAATATCTAGTAAATTAAGCTTTTACAATATTTTTCAATATTTCTTTTCCCTACAAGGACATTTGTAATGTTGTTACCTTCTTATAATTTATTAACCAAGCACTTAGAGAAATAGCCAGATAGACACAAGCTAGACTGGACTAAAAGATAAGGCATATTTTAATAATAAAAACAAACTCTCAGTCTGACATAAATGAATTCTGATCAAACTTCTTACTTCTTTACATTTTGAAAACCTGTTTTGCAATCTGAATGTTTGTTCTGCCTTGGAGAATGTTCTTGGACTATCTGGAGTTGCCTAAGAGACTGGTTTTGATTGAGAAATGTGGCATTACTTAATAACACAGGCATGACACTACTTCTAAACTATCAACTCATCCTGTGAATAGGAAAAAAACTTAGTCATGTAAAAAAAAAAAGAAGTTACAGGATGAGAAATAACCATGACAATGCTGAAAGGGATCTTTCTTGCCAGTCTATTAGTGTGCACAACCCACTGGACAGAGGTTTTTAACTACTGTGTTTATTGCTATATCCCCAGTAACCGGGACAGGGTCTGGAGTATAGTCAGTGTTCAATAAATAAATACTTGCTAAATGAATCTAAATCTGCTGAGAATAACTGGGCAGAGGAACAAGTATTAGGTCATAGGAAATAAGTAACAGTTAAGAGACTTCCTTTGCACCGGAGCATTTAGAAGCACGTGATATCATTAACACAAAGCCTGGAGAAGCCATTCAGCAAATGTGTGAAGGCACCACGTGAAGTGCTAGAAGATACAATGATGGGCACAACGTGTCTTTTTAATCCCTGCATCTGTGGACTTTGCTGCCCAGCAAGGTGACACCTTCGAATGAAAAAACAAACCCCATGGCTTAAGAGAAACAGATATACTTAGGCAGTAAAAAAGGTCATAGCTTGATCTTTATAAAAGAAACAGTATGAACTATTCTTGGGTCTTTAATGCAAAGTAGATTAGCTGAACAACTTCAAAAATTAGAGAAGGCATAAAAGATGGATTCTTATTATGAAGAAGCTTAAAGAGAAAGAAAACACTTGAGGCAGGCTCAGCTTTCCACTGTCCTTCACATAGGCTCTGTTCAGAAATGCTGCTCCTTCCTCGTAAGATACTGCCCTTGACTCCTTCCTGATGGGTCAGGTTTCAAGAAATCTTTCCTGCCCATTTCACATTTATCTTCTCCCTTCTATATCTTTAGAGCTCTCGTTGTCTGTATGTCTATTTAAAACCATCACACACTGAAAACGGACAACTCCGTGGGCCAGCACAAAAGCAGTGTGGCTTTTGGTAAGATACTCAGCTTTTCTGAGTCTCTGCTTCTTTACCTGTAAAACTGGTCTGATACCACCCACTTCACCTGGGATTACTCTATAAAGAATAAATAAAATATATGTAGTCCTCCTACCATATTGCCTAGCACAGTGTTCCATTGATGTTTGTTTCTTTACACCATCTACAAATTTCTCTGTGGCAACGTTTCTGACTTTCCCAATCAAATGAAGTTACTTCAGAGCATAAATGTACTTTCAGCTTTGTAGCAACCAGCAAAGCACTAGGAGAGAATTCTTTACATTTCTGATAAATATATATATTTTGAACTAAAAAAAATTTCTGTGCGGGTCGACTTTATCCCAGGTAGAAACTTAAGTCTGTTATGATAAAAATATACAAAGAGTCACTGAAAATTTGATTTTTAAAGAGTGTGAGGCTATATGCTGGGCCATCTGCTTACTACTAATATAAAGGTTAAAATTTGCAATATATAATAAAAGATTTTATTCATACATATGTTGCAAGGTTAAATTCAAGAAATATTCATTAGGACTTCTACTTGTGATCATTACTATGAGAGACATAAAAGAAGTATATGAAATACACATAAAACATAAGCACTACCTTTAAAGAGTACATGCCCATTTAGGTAACATTTAAACAAGTAACATTTAAACATTAAATATAAATATATATTTATTATTAATAAATATCTAAATATATTAAATATAAACATTCATTAATATTAAATATATATATTTCAGGTAAATAAGTACATACACATTATATACACAAACACCCCTCTAATGTGCTAAAAGAAACCGTATGTAGCTAAGCGCTTTAAAAAGTTGAACGTGGGCTGTAAGTCAGAAAAGGCTCCTTCACAAAGGTAGTTCTCACTTAGATTTAAAGAACCGGTGCAGGATGACCTGAGTCAGAACATTTGCCAACTAGGGAGGAGGAGAGGAGTTTGTAATCTCCATACCTCCCACTATAGGGAACACAGTACTTTGCACATTACAAGTACTCCATAAGAATGACGTAATGAATGAAAAGTAAGTTGAGACCACACTAGATCTTATCTTGCAGCCAGAGGTCTTCAAGTTTTTCAGCAGAGGATTTTATAACATTTGATCTGGCAGCAGTAAAGTCTCCCCAAGTGGCTACTCAGGAAACCACAGCAATTGACAATTTCCTCTCATTCTTCTTTTCATTTCCCTTAACTTATGTGTTTCTGCAAATACTTACTTTTTTAAATCTTGGAAACAGTAATTGCTTCTGATATGGAATGAGACCCTTACACTGTGCCAACTCAACAAATCTAATCATGCTAGGAAAAAACATCATATTGGAAGCTTTATAATGTAATCTATTTGCGAGATGAAGTCTTAACTGTGCTGGAGAGAATCTGACAGCATATGGAATGAGAACCGCCCCTTCATAAGACCCGTATTGCCTTTAGCTGCTACCTGAAAGTGCTTCTCCTCGCTGTAACACTTCTTCGATATTGGCCACCATGAGCCTCTGCACATCTTGCAACTCAGTGTTGATGGAGCCGAGGTTTCTCCGAGCACGGCTGTCAGTGTAGAGCTTCTTGGTTTTCTGAATGTAGGTCTCTAGAATGATGAAGAAAAATGACATTAACGACTTCTCTCATGTCCATCGAAGTACTGAGGTAGGGAACAGGGACCTCTGAGTGTAGTCTGGGACTGCAGCTATCCACGGTTAACCAAGCTACTGAGTATGAAAATGTGAGTTCTGACTTCTTCGCTTGTAAAATGTAAACATATAATGAGATTACCATTCAGGAAAACGTGTCCTTTGCACACCTTCGAATTAGAAATATCTGCTCTCAGGATCCTAGAGAAACTAAAACTATAGTATGCCTTTCCCGAAGGCAGAACATTTCAAACTATTCTGAGGACCCTTAGGGTTTCATTGGTTAACTAGACACATTCTCTAAAAAGATTCTGGCAACAATCTAACATTTCTACAGCCTAACATGGCAAAAGAATCACTCTATGATTAAAAAGTTGAAAAAACTCGACTTAAAGTATTTTCTTTAACATACATTCCCAATTTCACTCTGTTCGTAAACTTCAGGTAAAGCAAACGTGTTAGGGAGTTTCCCAAATAACCACTATAAAGCTGCAGTTTCATTCGTGTTTAGGCCATGTCTATATTTCTCAGAACTATAAGAAGAATGACTTATTATTAAAGATATATTCTCAACACTTGGCAAAAATCTTTAGCTATGTGTGCTGGATACCTTTCATTTGCCTTTCAATCTCCTCTCCACCCTTCTGCACCCTGCTTTTGCCTTGGGAAGCTGACCTACCAGGACTCCATCAATGGACTCCTTACCCCATAGCTTCCAGTTAGGTTCAGCAAAGGGGGAGCCCCAAGAGTAGGAAAGAAGAGCAAACAGTGACATCAGGGTATTTACTCCTCTAGCTCCTCCCTGAGAAGTATCCTTGGGCAGGCAGTGTCCCTCCATCAAGTTACAGCTCAAGTTGGCCTTCTCTATAAATTTCCTCCTTCCCCAGTCTGGAAACTGCTCTTTTCTCTCATTCCATCAGGCCTAGGGATGGTAACAATTACTGTGTTACAGGGCCCAGTACCTTGCAGTTCATCATAACCCGTTCATATCTTTGTAGATAGTCCTTTGACCTAATATGAGTGTACCAACTATTTCCTGTGTGACCTTGACAACAGCAGTCTTATTTTTTTCTTGGGTTTACTGGGCTGCTACTGTCTACAAAAGTAAAATTTGAAAAACCAGACATTAAAAAAATTACTGCTTGGAGAGTTTGGAGTTACAAAACATTGGAATATCTTGCTAAATTTATTTATTTCTAAAAAGCAAGATGACCTTATTATCTAGAAAATTCAGAGATAGTAAAAACCAAAATTTTTAAAATTATTATTATTTTAAAATTTATCTTTATTGTTGAAAGTATTACAAATGTCCCCTTTTTCCCCCTATTAATCCCCCTCACCCTGGACCCCCGCCCAGGTCTTCACCCCACCATTGTCTGTGTCCATGGGTCATGCATATATGCATATAAATTCTTAAGTGAATCTCC